AGTTACAAAAGGGGATCATAAATTTTTGTCAAGTTGAGGCACTCTTAAAAGAGTGGGACATTGATGGCCTTTTTACCTTAACTGTTGATAATGCGAGTTCTAATAATCTAACCATTAGATTCTTGAAACGAACCATAAAACTATGGAAGGGAACAGTCTTAGGCCATGAATTTTTACATATGCGTTGTTGTGCACATATTCTAAATCTCATTGTTAGTGATGGATTGAAGGATCTTGAGTCTTGTATAGCGAATGTGAGGCATGCAGTGAGGTATGTGAGGTCTTCTCTAAACCGCCTTGACTCTTTTAAAAAGTATGTGGAAAGTTTGAAAATTGAGAGTAAGAGTCTCTTGTGCCTAGATGTGCCAACACGGTGGAATTTCATATATCTTATGTTGGAGGCGGTGGAAAAATTTGAGAGTGCTTTTCAAAGAATGAGTGAGGAGGACTACAATTATAAACACTACTTTTTGGATAATGAAGGGGGTGAGATGAGAGAGATGCCTACAGCCGAGGATTAGGATAATTGTAGGGTGTTTTTGAAATTTCTTAGAATGTTCTACAATACAACAAAGAGATTTTCTGGGTCTTTGTTTGTTACTTTAAATACATTCTATACTGAAATTTTTGTCATTGAAAATATGATTGGACAATTAATCAAAGACCATGATCCTATTTTGTCTTCAATGGCAAAGAAAATAAAAGAGAAGTTTGACAAGTATTGGGGAAATGAGGATAAAATCAATCTCCTTTTGTATGTTGCGGTTGCGGTTGTGCTTGATCCTCGAAGAAAAATGACATACTTGCAATTTTGTTTTTCAACAATTTTTGGTGGAGATATGGTGAAAGTGAAAGAAATGTTAGACAAGGTGAAAATTTGTTTGAGTCAATTGTATGACCATTATGCCACGCTTGATTCAACAAATGTACATGCCTTTAATGTAAATGAAACAGTAGATATGGTGATAGATGAAAATGACCCACACTCTATTGTGAACTCTCAATTTAACTCATTTTTGGAGGAGCAATTTTCTAGTGGTGGGAGTATGTCGAGGTTGGACAAGTACTTGGGTGATATTGAGAAAGGTGGGAAGAATGCTCAATTTGACATCTTGGAGTGGTGGAAGGTTAATGCAACAAAATATAGAATATTATCAGTTATAGCATGAGATGTGTTGGCAATGCCTGTTTCCATTGTTGCTTCTGAGTCGGCTTTTAGTACAGGAGGTCGTATACTTGATCCATTTTATAGTTCACTTGCTCCCAAGATGGTGGAGGTTCTTGTTTGTACACAAAATTAGCTTCGAAATAATATTCCAATATGCCTTCGACAATCAATGGAAGATGTTGAAAAATTTGAACAACAATATGATTCGGGTAATATATCCATTTCATTTATTTTGTTTTTTAAAAATTCATTATCTTCACTTTACATGTTTTTGTTGTGTTATGTTTTATGTGTAGTTGTTTCGGAATCAAGTTCATGTTCAAGCCCAAGTCCGGCGAGTAATTTTATTGAGGTTTAATATCATTGGTAAAATACTACCCCTTTGTTAAATGTTGTTAACATATATTTACTTGTTTTAAGTTTAAGACTTTTTAGTGCTTTCCTTATTAAATAATTTCATTTTTTTGTTATGCAGGTTTAGATGGCTCTTGGTTTGGTGAAAGGAAATGAATGGTTTTTTTGCTTTTTTTTTTGATGAATGTAACTTATTTTTTTTGGATGCACAATGTTGGATGACTGTAACTTATTTTTTTTATTGCACAATGTTTGTTGGATGACTGTAACTTTATTGTTTTTGGAACTCCTGGATGGCTATCACTTGGATGGACAATGTTTTCCTTATGTTTTATGTGGAAGTTAGATGATTTATGCCCATTGGAATGAATGAATACTATTTTGTGAATGAATACTATTTTCCGAGGTTGAACTGCCCAGCTTGTTTCATAGATGTGAATGAACCAATATTTTGAATTATGCCCATTGCAATGAATGAATACTATTTTGCATTGCCCAAGTTGCATTGCCCAGGTTGTTTCATAGATGTAAATAAATAAATATTGCATTGTCTAGGGGTTTTTTTTTTTTTTTTGTATGTTGAAAATTTGTAAAATTTCAAACCGCCAAACCGATTCGTACCCATTCGCTAATCCACTAATCCGCATCCACCGGATTGGCGAACAGATGCGGATTGATTTTTTTCAATCTGCCAATTTGGCAGACGGATGGCAGATTTGAGGTTTCATGGCCGCAACCGATCCGCTCCCACCCCTAATTGTGATTATCGATCAAAAAACGTGCAATTAATCATAACCAAAGCATGAAAATTGAAGACAAAAATGTACAAAATTTCAATTAAGGTGATCACTAGTTAAGATAAAAATTGAGAAATTCAATTTAAGGTTACCATCAAATCAGAGAGAAATCCAATAAAACAATTGCAGGAGATATTGAAACAAGAAAATTCATTCTATAAATGTAAATAATTTTTTTTTTTTTAAAAAAAGATGGAAATGTGAGTAACAATTCAACTTCAGATTGTCGAAGATCAATTAATAAAGAGGAGAAGGAGATACATAAAATTTAAAAAAATTTAAATAGAAGATGGAATTTTTTTTGTAGGAATAGAATTTTTCTAAATAAATTTTAAAAATTCTAAATACACATAAAATTTGACAAGAATAATGTGACAATGTTAATTAATGTGTATTTGATTTTGTTGTTGAGCCAAATAAAATAAAATAAGATTGAATGTATATATAACTTTGGTTGTGAATTTTAAAAAAAAAAAGAAAAGAAAAGGGGTCAAGTTAGGTTAGGGAAAATCCAAACCTATTAGGAGAAAGGGAGTGTAGTATCTATGAGGAATGGAGAATGGGGAAAAATAATTATACGAGAATGGAGACGGGAATTAATATCCATCCCATTAACCCTCATTACCATCCCTAGTGAAAACATGTGGAGAAATTATTTTCTGATGTACCTAAAAAAAAAAAAAAAACACATGTGGGGAAATTAATGGGTACTTATTCCCGCCCCATCCCCAGTAGAGATTTAAGGAATATCACTTACCTAACCCGATGAACAAGAAAAAAGGAAAAAATTTATATATTTGGGTTGGGTCTCTATGAATACCCACAGGGTAGGTTATCTATTCTCATCCTTGCTCTCACCCTCGTTGCCACTGTAACAGACTTGTGGTAAAAAGAAAGGGAAGTGTGAGGTAGGAGTGATGGGTAAAAGGTGCGATGAAGAGTGATAGTAGCGGAAGATAGTGGTGGTAGTCTAGTGAAAATGGTGGAGGAAGGTGTGGGTGTGGAAGGAGAAATGAAGATTTTGTATGTTAGAGTTTGAATATTTTTGATAATTTTAGTTGAGAATAAATTTATAAAATATTTAGAGGTGCAGGTAGTTATTATTGTAGTTTGAGTAGAAGAAGCTTTTTTTTCTTTTTGGGTAAGTAGAGTAGAAGAAGCTCGGTCTTACCTATATTCATTAAGCTAGTGTTTTAGAAACTTTTGAATAATATAGTGAAGGTCTTTCGCATTTTAAGGGATATTTTAAGAAGATAGTTAAAAGTCATCTTTTAATTTGTAATTTATTTTGAATTATATCATTTTTCATATTTTTCTACACGTTTTTTAAAAAAAATAAAAAAATCAACTTTTAACTATTTTTCCAAAACAACTCAAAGGTCTATCTTTTGCGTCGGTAAATTCAACCGACTCAAATAATACTATCAAATATTAATTTTTTGTGTCGGCCAACGGTGCCGACACTAAAGGTTTGGTATTTGAGTCGGTAACTCTGTGCCGTCTCAAAAAGACTACCTTTTGCGACGATAAAATTTGCCGACTCAAAAAATCGACTCAAAAGTAGAGTAGAAGAAGCTTTTTTTTCTTTTTGGGTAAGTAGAGTAGAAGAAGCTCGGTCTTACCTATATTCATTAAGCTAGTGTTTTAGAAACTTTTGAATAATATAGTGAAGGTCTTTCGCATTTTAAGGGATATTTTAAGAAGATAGTTAAAAGTCATCTTTTAATTTGTAATTTATTTTGAATTATATCATTTTTCATATTTTTCTACACGTTTTTTAAAAAAAATAAAAAAATCAACTTTTAACTATTTTTCCAAAACAACTCTAATGTAATTGAAAGAATTATAATCCAATTTGAATAATGTTATACAAACATAATTTTTTTTAGATAGAAATTTCATACATAATTTTTTTTAGATAGAAATTTCATACATAATTTGTTTTTAAAACAGTGACTTTTATAATTACAAGTGTGTCAATGCTGCATCATTCTGAATGTATTTATATGTACAAATTCTATTTGTAAATTACTTTCCATCAAGTTGTTATGATTATGTATTACACGCCATGAATGGTGTACATAGGAGCACTGAATAATTTCCCAGGAGTACATGGAAGATGAGAATAAAGAATACAGCAACCACCCCTCTCTCTCTCTCTCTCTCCCCTAATTACCTTCTATCGCACGCCTCCCCCACCTCCCCCACACCACACCACACCACACACAGACAGCAACTCTTTTTCTTCATAATACATACAACTCTCTCTCTCTGTCTCTCTCTCTCTCTCTCTCTAATTCTATATATATACAAACCTATCATACCCACACTCACCTCTCTTTCATTTCTTGTCCTCCTCCTCCTCCTCAACCTCTTCATCTCCCTCCAAAAAAAAACAAAAAAACCAACATCAATTTACAAATTACCTTCTATCGCACGCCTCCCCCACCTCCCCCACACCACACCACACCACACACAGACAGCAACTCTTTTTCTTCATAATACATACAACTCTCTCTCTCTGTCTCTCTCTCTCTCTCTCTCTCTAATTCTATATATATACAAACCTATCATACCCACACACACCTCTCTTTCATTTCTTGTCCTCCTCCTCCTCCTCCTCCTCAACCTCTTCATCTCCCTCCAAAAAAAAAACAAAAAAACCAACATCAATTTACAACATGTCCACAGATCTAGAATTCCAACAAGGCTTGCCCCAACTCCGACTACCCACCATCAGAATCAAACCCTCCACCGACGAAATTCCCACAATTCAGACCCCAAAGAGTGGCAGCAATAGCAACAGCGGTGACGATGAATGCCGCACCCCGACATCGCCAGAACACAAGATTCCAGCGATGCTAAGCTGCCCTCCGGCCCCGAAGAAGCCGAGACGGACTGAACACTACAAGCGAAAGCTATGCGAGCTTCAGTTCTTCGAGATCGTTGGTAGGGAAGAGATTGAGTCGTTTTTCAGATCGAGTTTTGGGTTCGTTGATTTGAATTCTGGGTCTGTGTTTGTGATGAAGAGAAGACGATGGGCCAGCTAAATTTTCTGCGAATCCACACCAGAGATGTGCTATCTCTATATATACATGTATGGCTTGTAATGGGCAAGCTCCGAGAAAATATGTATGTATTACACGTTCTGCCTATATGAATTCCACTTTTAATTATTTGTTATTAAATTATGGGGTTTAATATGGTATTGAAAGTTCAGGTAATTTGGATTTGAATTATATTTTTTCAAATACAATTTTGATCAGATTTTATTTAATTGAAAGCCATTTTGATCTATTCATCTACTTTCAGTTTTGGTTGTAATTTTTTTAATTTTATTGTTGTTTTCTTGATGGGTTTTTGAGAGAGAGAGAGAGAGAGAGAGAGGTGGTTGTTGGTTAGTTGCTTTTGTTTGAAGGAAGAAGCTTATGACTTATGAGCTGTTGGATAGGGTTCATTTTTTTATTAATTAGCATGTTTGATTTGTATTTGGTTTGACAATTACATTGGATCCATTGACATGAATTTCTCTCTTAAGAGTTGGTAGAGACTATTTCACGAATAAAGATGCGAGTATACATATCTTTATACTCATTTATACACACAGAACGTGTGAAACTTAACTTACAATTATGCGTGTGAGTCTCACATCCGCAAATGTACAAATAAAATAAATATATATAACATCTATCATATTTATTTATCCATATCAAATATTATATGCAGACATAAGATTTACCATATATATGTAATACACCTAATATTTGTTTTATGGATCTAGTTTAAAGGTTAAGTAGTTAGTGAAATTCATCCGTGGATTAATATTAAGGAATCTAGATCTATTCACACTTTAATATTTACTTTTCACATATCATATCTTTTTAATAAGATAGATACTATATAGTGTAAATAACAAAATGTGAAGGGTGACTATTTTTGTCCAAGATCACCTACATAATTAAATACAGAGAAGGTTGTATATTTGTATTACAAAAATGTTAGAGATTCTAAAAATTTTATCAAAAATTCTATCAGGTATAGACCCACATGAGACTCACATGGTGTGGATCCCATATAAATGTAAGGCATTTGATAAAACTTTTGGGGTCTCTAGCATTATTTTGTGGCCTCGTTTGTTTCTAGAGTTGGAGAATGGGATTGAGACTAGTAGTGAGATAGGATTTAAAAAATTGAACTTGTTTTGGAAAGTGTCTATGAGATTAAGAGTCTCATACCACTATGAAAGGCCTTGGATGAGGGGATTAGTAGTGGCCTAGGAGAAGTGGTATTAAAAAATGAATCCCTTGGGACTATGGGTTAATTGACTATTTTACCCTTGTGTTTATTGCTAAATTTGTTATAATATTTGGAATGAGACTCATAATATGGCTCATGTAATATTAAACACAAATAATTGAGTAAAATTTTATTGATAGTTAGATTCTTTAATATTTGCGCGCACACAAAAAAAAAAAAAAAACATTGAGTACAAATTTATTGATAGTTGGATTCATTAATATTAAAAAAAAAAAGAAAAAAAGAAAAACATTGAGTATAAAATTTTGATAATTGGATTTTTTAATATTTAAAAAAAATATAAAAAGAAGAGAAATAATTTTGAGTAAAAATTTATTTATTCTTAAGTTGATATAAGCTTAAATTTGATAATAATACAAATGATATTTGTGAAGTTTTACATGATTAATCTCTCTTATCTCTCAAAAATAAATATAAACTATTACTATTCCATTGATAATTGAACAAATATAATTTTTTTTAATCTCTACACTTACAATCCATGCATTAATAATTTTTTCATTAATAATCTTTTCTATTCTATCTTTCAAAATAAACGGAACGTTTGTATTAATATTATAAACAGAATGTGGCATGTATTATGTCATGTAATAGTACAACTAACGAGGTGATCGTTTGTCTGTATTGATTTATTTATTTATAGATACCATGCACAAGATCTTTGGCAATCCCTATATATGTTCACATTCATTCTCTTGAACTCTAAATTACACTTCATAAATTTGGTGAGAAAATTTCCACATGCCTCTGGTGCATCAAGTCAATTATATGGGGACATTTTGAGAAATTAGTTAAACATTAATTTTTAATTTTTAATTTATTTTGAGTTACATTATTTCTCATATTTTTTTATAAAAAAATAAAAAAATAAACAAAAAATAAAAAATTAATTTTTGATCAATTTTTCAAAACATTTATATACATATATATTTTCTTTTCACATGGTCATGTCACAGACCACATTCCATGCACACTCTCTCTCTCTCAAGTCAATTATATGTATTTTTTTTTCTTTCATATGGTCATGTCACAGGCCACATTCCATGCACACACACTCTCTCTCTCTCTCTCTCTATATATATATATATATATATATTTGGATTAGATATGGAGGTACATGTGGCCAACTTTAATGCATATGGTAAATTTCCAATCTTTAGAGTTGGCAAAATTTAATCCAATTAATTTGAAAATTAAGGCTCACCAAATTTTCTTTCTTTTTAACCCTTTGATTCCATCTTCCTTCAATCAATGTTTTTTTTTGGGTCATGGGAAAAATATCAGTATATTTGGAGAATGCGTAGTCACCCGCTCTACTATTGAGTTATTAAAACACAACAAATTTTAAAAAATTAACTTTTATTTTTTAGAATGACATATAATTGAACAAAAACAAGTATATCATTTTTATTCACATTTACCATAAAAACTTATTACGATAACAACTCAGTCCATCCCTAGCTAGAGGGCCTCTAGAGTAAGGAGGCTCTCGATTCATATTGTGATTGAATCCCATCGATCTCGATAAAAATAGATTGTTACCATTGGATTATCCTTTAGTTGCTGACAAGATGGTACCTTACCATCCGTTACGGTAATGATTGAAAGATAGCATTGAAGCATGAACATTTGTGGTATATGACACTTTTTCACTATGCAATAATTTTTTCATTAATTGAATCGAAAAAATAAATTCAGGGCATGCACTTTTATCTTTTTCTAGTTCATACCCCCGTGTCTCTGGAGGCAAAAAGCTTCAACCTCCTAAAAAAAAAAAAAATTAAGACACCATTAGTTTCAACATTTCCAACTTTTCTTTCTCACCATCCCTTGAAAAAAAAATAAATTAAAAATGAATAAAAATCACACTGGTTTGGTAATCCTAGATCAAAAGCTATTGTGCATTTGATAAATTAATCTCCTCTAAACCTAATTGTCAGGAAAAGTTTTTTATTTTATTTTTATTTTTTCGTTTGTTAGTTAATTTAGAACGAAAAACTAAAGTATACCAGAATTCTTAACCAATAAATTAATCAAATTGAGTAATATTAGAATTTTTAGTAAGAATTTTACTTAAAAAACCAATATGTGATCCAAATCAACACAGTGTCTCTGGAGGCAAAAAGCTTCAACCTCCTAAAAAAAAAAAAAATTAAGACACCATTAGTTTCAACATTTCCAACTTTTCTTTCTCACCATCCCTTGAAAAAAAAATAAATTAAAAATGAATAAAAATCACACTGGTTTGGTAATCCTAGATCAAAAGCTATTGTGCATTTGATAAATTAATCTCCTCTAAACCTAATTGTCAGGAAAAGTTTTTTATTTTATTTTTATTTTTTCGTTTGTTAGTTAATTTAGAACGAAAAACTAAAGTAATGTATTACCTCAAAGCTAAGATGTACCCCAAATATCAAATAACAACAATTTATTATTATTATTATTATTGTTATTATTATTATTATTATTATTATTATTATTATTATTTATTATTGCTAAATAGTAGGAGATTATACGAAAGTTCAATGACATAATTATCACACCAATATGTCCAATTGGGTCAATCACACATGAAAAATCTTCTTAATCTCTTAATGAGATACCAGAATTCTTAACCAATAGATTAATCAAATTGAGTAATATTAGAATTTTTAGTAAGAATTTTACTTAAAAAATCAATATGTGATCCAAATCAACACACCAATTAAATTTTAACCACACTTTCATTTTTAGTAAATTTCTTGACAATTTTTCCGAATAAGTAGATTTTTCCAACCCAATTAGTTCAAGAGCATATGTTAACAAGAAGAGGCCTAAAAAGTGAAAAGGGTCACCAAATCAGTGATTAATAATGGGAGGAAACTAGTGAAATTTATGGGGGCCATATATGGGTACATCTAATAGATGCTCTAATAGCTTGTTGTTAACGATAGATCAACTAATATAAAAACTATCAATCAACGTTATATCAATTGTTAGATCTGAAATGTTGTTGGTTCAACCAATTGATATTGACAGGAAAAGAAAAAAAAAATCCTATGTATATTCACTTGAGGCCTCGTTATTCAATTATTAATTTATCAGATTGATGCCATGTTATTCAATTATTAATTGATCAGAGTAAAGCTTCAATCTCAAGTGTCTTTCATGAAAAAAGATAGGATAAATTATGATTGATTATAAATTAATTAAGGTTAGTCATACACGAGACCAAGTTTCACATTGTCAAGGAGTCACCGGAGGAGAAGCCTTTGTAACAGAGCTTAAACAATAAGCTACTCTTAATTCGTATCTTAATTAATTTTGACGGAATAAAGAGCATACTTTGAGAGAGAGAGAGAGAGAGAGAGAGAGAGAGAGAGAGAAAGAGTAACTTATAAAGATGGTAAGCATAAAATAAAGAGGATTGCCATGTGACGTGCTTGAGAAACACATTTGCAAGAAACTGTGAGGAACACTAAGCTGAACCAGCAATTTTATTTTCCTTGAAAGGCTATTTGCGGCTTTGCCTTGATAAAGTCCTGAACTGATTAACGGTTCATTCGGAAAGTTAGTTAGTTTTTTGATTTTTTAATTTCTTTTGATTATTTTAATCTGTGATTAAAAAAATTTGTTTGGGATAGGTTTTTTGGTTTTTTTTTTGACTTTGTGAGAAAAAAAATAGAATGATTACGAGTTGGATGTAACATTTTGTCCTATTTAACTACAATAGCATATTTTGTCATATATGACT